AAATGAAATAATGTAAGGGAAAGCACCTAGAATACCCCATGGCACATAGTCACTATTTAGTAAATATCTACCTGGGTCAAAGGTGTGGCTTAGTATACTGTAATAAAACTTCAGCATGAGTCAATGAGGAGTATGTTCCATGCAATCCTTCATAGATGAGCCTTCTTTCCTCTATTGTCCCCACCATCACTTAAGGCCTCAGAATCCTACTTCCAAACTCACTTCTGGGTAGTGGTGACCACAGATATTCTCTGTCATAGTTGTTAAATCAAGGAAATTTTTGCTTTATTCAGATAAAAAGATGTCCCTGTGATTTAAGGGTGTAAGCCTATTGTCCACTATTGTAATGCGTTTTCTCCTTTTTGTCAATTTTATGTCCTAAACAAACATGTATCACACTGCTCCATTGCTTGCTGCATGTCTGCCACTCTACTAGACTGGAAGCACCTTGAAGGCCATGGGCTGAGTTTTATTCATCTTAGTCTCTTCAGCACTTAATATAATCTCTGGCACTTAGTAGGCATCCAATATTGGTGATTGAATCAATAAGTAAATAACTGGATTAATAAACGTACTTTTTGGTCTATTGTCTGCTTTTGTGGTTTCACCCATGTGGCTCATATGTCTTTCAGTGAGTCTCTCCCTCCACCAGTTATCCTAATCTTCAAATCTTTTCGAAAATCTGGGATAGTGTACCTAAAACAGAACATTAGCTTTCTGTGGGCCTAACTCTTCAATGTGATAAGCTTAGGAACTTTAATTAAAGTAACTAAAGTTACTTTCAATGACACTTGCTTACTTCTTGGCTTGTTACTATGTTCTGGGTAACTGAGGCCATCAAATAAATAAATCTGAATGAGTGAGGCACATTTATAAATCAATGTAGGCAGACTATTACTTTAAAGAAAACCCTGGATGTGCATTATCCTCATATGATGAATGATCCTATTCCCTCAGCAGTAGTGTTTGGCATATTTGAATTCAGTGTTTTCCCACGTTTTATGTTCCCCAGGCCAGTTCTTCTTTGGAATAAAAGGAAACAAAAAAATCCCTAGGATATCGAGAAGCTTCTGTCCTTTCCATGACTTTGAAAGTATATAGCATACCTATAATAAGTGACTCAAATCAACTCAATTTCATATCATGGTTGAAAAAACTGGAATAAAAATTTTGTTAAAAATGTTATCCACTGCAATTGAATTAAAAGCCAGTGCATAATAGAAAAATCCACTGTGTATTCTGAAGTTGAGGAACTGATCTGACTTGGCATATGACTAAGGTATGGTAGGAAGAGCTACTTCTGATTCTATCACTACCAGATGTGTGGCCTTCATGTGGAAAATAAATTCTATAATGTCTGTTTTGCCCTTATCCTAAGGTTGTTAGGCTTAGGTAAGATCAAGCATTCTGAAGATATAAAAGTGTTACCAAAACCCAGAGCAATACTACTTATTTCAAATAATATACTATTTATACTTCTTGTAAAGCCTCAATTTTTTAGTTACTTAATTTTTATAGTTTTTGGTATTTAGATATGTTTGGATATGTTTTATTTAAATTATAAGAATTTATTCTTGAATAACTTATTACTGATTTCATAGATAATGCACCTTCAAAATGGTTCCTAAAATCTCTCTTCAAAGTGAGCAACTTTGTTCATTTCCAACTAAGCCTTGCATGTGAATGGGCCACTCAAACATAGCAATCCCTCCCAGATTGTCAATTTGTTTTCCTACTGCCACTTACACTCATGATCCCTCCTCTCCTCTAATGGTTCCCGGGATAGCAGTCTGGTGACGTGGGCCATTGCATATTTAGTTGGCCAATTAATAACTATGTCATTTCAAAATGTTCCGTAACTTCTATCACTTATGCCAACAACCTTTAAAGATTCAGGAGAATATTCCTAAGGCAGCTGAATCCTAACTGGAATTTGGCTGATATCTGGGAAGCAGAATTAAGTCCTGGAAATGTTGGTATATATACTTTTTAAAACTTTTTTTTTTTTTTTTTAGACAGAGTCTCACTTTGTTGTCCAGGCTAGAGTGAGTGCCGTGGCGTCAGCCTAGCTCACAGCAACCTCAAACTCCTGGGCTCGAGTGATCCTTCTGCCTCAGCCTCCCGAGTAGCTGGGACTACAGGCATGTGCCACTATGCCCGGCTAATTTTTTATATATATATATATCAGTTGGCCAATTAATTTCTTTCTGTTTATAGTAGAGACGGGGTCTCGCTCTTGCTCAGGCTGGTTTTGAACTCCTGACCTTGAGCAATCCGCCCGCCTCGGCCTCCCAAGAGCTAGGATTACAGGCGTGAGCCACAGCGCCCGGCCTAAAACTTTTTATAAGCAGGCAATTCAGTGGCATTTAATATGTTCCCAAGGTTATACAGCTACCATTTCGGTCTAGTTCTTAAATATCTTCAACCTTTACCCATCAAGCAGTTTCTCCCCCTTTCCTCTTTCTCCCAGACCCTGGCAACCACTAGTCTGAAAGCATTTTGTGCTTTTAAAATGTATTTACGAAAAGTTTCAAAATAAAGTAGTATAAAGAACACCTATATACACTTTACCCAGATTCATCTGTTGTTAACATTTTACTCCATTTGCCTTTCTAGTTATATATACAGATAATAATTGTAATTTTATGTTAATTATAGCCATATATATGTATAATTATTTTCTGAGTAGTTTGATCGTGACCCTCAGACATTTGCATGGGGTCTGGACATGTGTTCCCAGAATCAACTTTAAAATTGTGTTGCCCTATACCAATAGCCACCAGTGGTGCATCTAAAACACACAGACATGGTTCTGTCTCTCAAATGCTCAAAACCCATCTACCCAAAGGAATAAAAGACATTCTATAAAAAAGACATCTGAACTCAAATGTTTGTAGCAGCACAATTCACAGTTGCAAAGATGTGGAAACAACCCAAGTGCCCATCAATACATGAGTGGATTAAGAAAATGTGGCATATGTATACCATGGAGTTCTACTCAGCCACCAAAAACAATGGTGATCTAGCACCTCTTGTATTATACTAGATAGAGCTGGAGCCCATTCTACTAAGTGAAGTATCACAAGAATGGAAAAACAAGCATCATATGTACTCACCGTCAAATTGATTATTAGCTGACTTAACTGACCAACACTTAAGTGCACATATAGTAGTAACATTCACCAGCTGTCGGGCAGGTGGGAGGGTGGAGGAGGGGATGGGTATATTCACACCTAATGGGTGTCGTGTGCACCTTCTGGGGGATGGACTTGCTTGAAGCTCTGACTTGGGTGGGGCAAAGGCAATATATGTAACCTAAACATTTGTACCCTTGTAAAATGTTGAAATAAAAAAAAAAATTTAAAAATGCTCCAAACTCAGTGGTGACTGCTTTTCTATACAGAGTAATCTCCAAACTGCTTCTCTGGGTATTCATTGTGCACCACGCTCTGTTTTCAAGCTCCTGTCCTATTTCTTTGCTGTCCTATTTCTTTATCTTTTGTCAGCTCCACCCATACTGAACTACTTAGGATTGCCTGTGTCTGCCACCAGATCTCTGGCGATTTCTTTCTACAGATATAGTCACCTCTCTTTATCTATCCCCTTGTCAAATTTATCCATGGCCCAGCTTCAATGCCTGTTTTTGTTTTGGCATCCCTGATCTCATCCTCCACATCCAAACTCTTATAGCGCTTATAGCTCAGGGACTAAGGGCATGGCTATTCAACCAGGATTCTGGTTGAATCCTGAGTCTGTCACTTGTTAGCTGTGTGAATTTGGGCAGTTTCCTTGTCTTCTCTTTGGTTTGCTCATCTGTAGAGTGAAAATAATAAAGTACTCACCTCTTAAAGCTATTATAGAATTAAATGCAATAACATTTCTAAGTGCCTAAAGCTGTCTTTGGAGGATAGTAAACAATAACTGTAAGCTACAGTCTTAGCAGGACTCAGCTCAGTATATTTTGATTAGTTGTTTATATATCAGTCTCCCATGGCAGGTTATGAGATTCTTAATGATGAAAACCTTTGTTTATTCATCTTCATATCTCTAGTTTAGCCTCCAATAGAGGTTACTCTTGAATAATAAATACTGCCAGCTCTATAGGTAATGCTCTTCTGTAGACTGAGTAGATTACAAGAGGCATCTCACAGTGACACAATTTAAAACAATAGTGAAATCTGCACTGGTTAATCTTTAGCTTGTAACTGTGTATGTAGTCTGGAATGAGAAAATAAAAATTTTAATTTTTTTTCTAGGAAAAAATCAAATGAGAGAATAAGTGATCTCCAGAAACAACAATAATAGAATCTTTAGTTTTTTCAGCAAATATGATATATTAAAGGAAGACATTGCACCTTGAGTTACTACTGTTGGCTCAGGTCAGCATCACGGAGAGAAAGGCAATTTTTAGGAAATGACTCTACTATATTGAAGGTGGCAGAAATATGGAGGAGATAGACTCCAAAGAAAGATATCAATGCATATAAAAATTCAAAGTAAGCCAATGGTATATCAGAATTGGAAAGCTATTATGGTCAAAGTTTATTTCAGGTGTATTAGTTTATCAGGGCTGCTGTAACAAAGTACCACAAACAAAGTGGATTAAACAACAGACATTTTTTGTCTCACAGTTCTGGAGTCTAGAAGTTCGATATCAAAATGTCAGTACCGTGTTTCCCTGAAAATAAGATCTACCCATAAAATAAGCCCTAGCAGGATTTCTAAGCATTTGCGCAATATAAGCCCTACCCCCAAAATAAGACCTAGTGATGGGTGTGGCTACACAGCGTCATCTGCACCACCCATGCATTTCGTGGCCCAGCGGTAAAGAAGACAAACAGCCCTTCTCATCTGCCCCATCGTGGCAGCTACTATCCCAGAGGTGACCAGAAAGGTGTGTGCAGCCCCACCAACAAGGTGGGCTCCCCCTGTCAGGTCCTGGCCATCCTGTGCGTGCTGCAAGCTGAGGCTTTGAGGGAAAATAACACATCCCCTGAAAATAATCCCTAGGGTGTCTTCTTGAGGAAAAATAAATATAAGACCCTGTCTTATTTTTGGGGAAACACAATAGGTTTGAGTCCTTGTGAGGTCTGTGAGGAACAATCTGTCCCATGGTTCTCTTCCAGCTTCTGGTGATTTGCTGGCAATCTTCAGCATTCCTTGGCTTGTAGATGCATCAACTAATCTCTCCCTTCATGTTCACACGGCATTCTATTTGTACGTGTGGCTCTGTGTCCAAATATGCCCTGTTTATAAAGACATCAGTCATATTGGATTAGGAGCCTATGCTACTCTATTAAAACCTCCTCTTAAATAATTACATCTGTAATGACTCTATTTGCAAATAAGTCCACATTCCAAGGTACTGGGGGTTAGGACTTCAATATATGAATTTTGGGGGACATAATTAATCTCCTAACAATAGACTTTTAGAGAATGTATTTAACGTTTATTAAAAGCAAAATGTCAGTAGATGTGTTTTTGTTCTTCCATTATGCCTCCACTGAAATTGTTTTTGTTGCTGCTTTTCAGAACATAAGTGCTAAGAGGAACACTTAATGTTTTTAAACTTATGTTTATGATACTTTATATTCTTGTGCACTAGAGAAATTCCTATCCAAATAGATTTATGATTGCTTAGAGATCATGAACCTGAACTTTGCTGAAGCAGGCAGGTTTGCAAATTTTAGCTGTGTTGACATTCCAAGAAAGGAGGTAATGAATTCCAGAAATTCAAATCTGATTATTAAAGCAGAAGTGTTGGGGTTAATATAAAGCTCACCAGAAGTGAAATATTTAGATGAACTGTAGGGGTATCACAGAATTTAGGGGGGAACATGAAATCCTTACCTTAAGAAAAAGTAATTATGTCCAAAGTAAAGCACACAATATTCTCAGTTTTTAAACAGAGATAGGATGCTGGTTCCATTAATGTAAGATAAATTTGAAAATGCTTATCTGCTTACTGTGCTCAGTGGTAATATCTCTTAAAATTGGACCATAAATATATTCTACTCTGTCTCTTTTTTCTTCCTGTTTTTGTTTTACATAAAAAAACTCCTGTCTTTTCTATGATTTTATTCTTATTCATGATATCTCTATGAATTTCATTGTTCTACCTCCTTAAATATTGCCCTATAAGAAAGTTTAAATGTGAGCCACACAGGAAATGATGTTCTTTGCCTAGAAAGGATATTTCAAGAGTAAAATTTGCAGAGTTAGAAATTATATTAAAGAATTAAAATGAAGAATAGTTTCACTTATCAAACTGTATTTGAGTTAACCTTGAGAAACTCCCAGTAGCTAGCATTGTGCCTTCGGTAGAAGGAATTTATTAATATCACCAACCCCCTTGGACTTATTAAAATTATCCTTTATTCAATATTTTTGACTAAAAATTAATACTTTGCTCTTTTATTATTACTAATAAAGGAATATTCTTAACCTGGAGTGGAAACACATATAAAATGTCACAAGGACACAAGTTCTTGGGGAATTTAATTACTGTGGCTACAGCATCTTGTTCTTAGCATTTTCAATCATCAGCCTCAAAAAGAATTTGTTGTCTATACTGCATAAGCCATTTTTGCTCAACTCTGAATGTTTGACCCAAATGGGATAAGTGAATTGTTTTCATCTGCCTCCTTAGGAATCTCTTGGCTTGATGGATCTCACATCATGAATAATTAAACAGCATTGGCTTGTAAATTCCATCAGAAGCAGAGTGTCTCAGAGATTCTTATTTCGCAAAAGGTAGATGTACTGAGGAATCAAATCTGCCAATTATATATAAAGCTTATTTTCAAGTATAAGGATTTTTTTGTGTAATGAGAATTTCAAAAATCTTTTATAGACCAAGTGTCATTAACCATACAATAGAAATTCATGAAAAGTCCATTATCCTTTTAAAACTTTCATATTCAGATTTCCAGTAAAAATGTAAATGTTATATCTCTAATTTGTGAATTTAAGTTATTACAAAGTAAAAAAACATATATGTAGAAATTGTTTTGATGATTACTGCAAGTCAAGAATATGAACTGTCCGAGAAAGAGTACCTGGCCTTTTTTAGAGTAATGAAACATAGCTTCAAAGAAGACATTATTTTCTCTGTTCATTTGGATTGTTGGTTGTTGGTCTAAAAGTGCATATTAATTCCCCACTGTGGAAAAATGAGCATTGAAATGCTTCAAGTGCTATGCAGAAAAATGCTTAGAATAAAAGCAACTTTCCCTTCTTTAACCCTTAAATATAGACCTTGAATTCTAGAGAGAAAAAATACAAGTATTAAACTTTAGTGAAATAGTGCTGCTTAAGGACTGCATACCTGGAGTAATACTCCTCTCAGATAGTCATATGGTATGGCCTGTTCCAGAAAACTCGTTTTGTCTGGGTGCTGTTCTTCGTTCTCCCCACCTCCAATTGGCTGTTTATAAACGGAAATATTTTTGCACTGGACAATAATTTCTAGTCTATTTTAAAGTATGTATGCCCTATTCAGTCCCCAAAGAAATATTCTAAAGTCAGCTTCTCAGCATCTTTTCGCTGGTCAGGAGGACAAGCCTGCTGTGTGCTTTACAGCTGCTGTCATGCCAGAGGGCCAGTAACACAGCGCTCGCTTTAATGAGGCAGCAGATTTCCTACCTCTGAAAATTAAGGATGTTGGTCTCTGCAGTAATTTGGCACAGGATTGACTTTCCCTAATAAAATTTTTCTAGTAGCAATGGGAAGAGTACCACTGTTAGCCTCAAACACACAGAAAACTGGAAGTAAAATATGTTATTAGCATAGGCCAGGTCTCAGGTGAACTTTATAGTACTGTGTGCACTTTTCCTCCTCCTCTTCTCTCTCCTTCTCCTTCTGCTCCTTTTCCTTCTTTATATTCTTCTGAAATTTAGTCTGTTTTTATTTGGGAGTCTTAAAACCACCCTTAAGTGACATGAGGTAGAGTTTTCAGTACTTCATAGTACTTCAGTACTTCAAGAACTTTTCTTTTTATCCTTGAAAACAAAATAAACCTGATTCAACAAACAACTCTGGAATTCACAGATTGGAAAGATGGCACTTATTCTGTGGAATGTTGCATCATCCTTTAAAAAAAAATCCAATGCATTTTCTTAAAAAATATCTGTATCAGTATGTGCATACATTATGTATATAAACACACACATATACAAAGTATACATTCTCACATACAAATATACATTTAAATGAAATGTTCAGAATTATTTGTGAGAACAGAAAAACCTGAGAACCACTTGCCTAATATGAGGTTATTCTGACACACAGTTTGATTAGTATATATGTACTGATTGTCACAGTTTTCCTTGCTTGCTTTCAGCATAAACTATACATATTATTTATTATATGTCTTGACAAAATGGCAAAAATAATGCATAACAAGCTGTTAACAATTTTCTGACATTCTGGTATTATATAATCTAAAAATAGTTTTCATATCTTAAATGCAACATTAAATTAACTGAAATAAAATTTTACCCTGGCTAATAGATTTTCTAATATAGTATAACATAATGTAGCTTTTTTACTAATTAATTTCCAACTCATCACCTCTATAATTACTTAAGTTTTTGAAAAATACGATATGGTTGCTAAAGTAATGTCATTGCAATGACTTGTTAGTGTAGTCAATGCTATTTATATATGAATAAAAAGTTATCTGTGTATGATGCTTTAAATTTTTTCTAAATGAATTATTTTCTGATTAATTATTAAAATCCCTTATATGAGATAACTATATAGTCTCTTATATATGTTTGTGTACATATATATTTATATTCACTTTTTAGCATCCGATTATTCAGCTCTTTTACATGCCATCTCAAACATAAAAAGTTATTCATTATTATTGTTATTTTCAAATCTCTAATAAAATGTAAGAATTAGAATCAACTTGTCAAACAAAAGTAAAACATCTTATATGACTTGCTAATTTTTGTTTATAATTCTGATTGCTGATTCATTAGAACAAACCTTTTTGGGAGCAGGTACTACATCTTGCTCACCGTTGAACCCCCAGATCCTTCTATGATGACTGATATATGGTGGGAGTGCAACAAATTTTTGTAGCATGAATTAATTAATGATTGATTTACTCATTGAACAGCAATTACTACTAATTATTTCTCAAGTATATGTTTTACCTTTTAGACTAAGCTCTTTACTCTTAAGATTTATAAAATTTTTGGCAGTGATATAAACACTTTAATCCTTTCATATGAGACAGTTTCTAAAAGAGAACTACAACTAAATGTTGTTCAAAATCAGTTAATTGGATTTACTTACTAACTAAACAAAACTAAACAAGCACTGTGCTTTAAGAGAAAAGTGGTGTTTAGTCTAGCTAATGGTATGGAAGGAAGGAAGGGAGTCATTTTCTTCTCTAAGAAATTAGGGGAGTCAACATTGTATTATGTTTTACGGCTATAGTACTCTACCTCCAGTGTCTTATAAATGTTGATTACTTGGGAGCAGAGTGAGATAAGCTGGAGAATTAACTAAGGACAAGGCTAAGAAGGCAACTGGAAGATATAATTTAACTCAGAAGCAAGCTGTTTTCCTTTGACCAGCAGAGCACAGCCTGAGCTGGGATTCTGTCTTCTAGAGATGGTGCTAATGTTAAGAGTTGAAAATAGGTTCCAGGGAGGCATTAGCTAAAAGTAAAGATTTTATGATAAGTTGTATGAAAGTAATTTCTCTTGTATGTACCTGCATGTGGAAGAAAAGTTTGGAAGGTTTGGATAAGTTTAATGTTATAGCTTTAAGGACTTTAAACAATTAGGCAAAATAGCTACATACATAATTACAAATTAATTTATCATCTATTTGAAAAATTTCTCCTTTTTTTGTGCATGTAAGCCTGCTTAACACTGGAGTGTAGGTTCCAGGCAGAATTGCCAGAATGTGTAGAAGCCTGGAGGAATAAGAGAATATGGAGTATTTGGTGGATAATGCAATGAGTAGATGTCATTGGTGAGGGAGATGACACTGAAGAGGGCCAGAATATAAATATAAAGGACTTTTGTATGCTCAGGTAAGTAATCTGTGCTATATGCATCATTTAAGTGGAGTGACAAGTTAAGGTTGCATTTTAAATGGTCATTTTGATATTTCCATGAAGGCTGAGTAGGCAGAGCTTTACTAGAGATAGATCAATAATAGAATACTTCAGTCTGTTGGAAGAGATAGAAAATTTACTGATTTGAACATAGAAGGTAGGATCCAT